AAAAAAAAAGAAAAAAAAAAAACGCAGGCTTTTGTCCAGCATGGGCGACATATGGAGGGGCCTGAATTTTTAGATCTTCACAGCATGGGCGCGATATGGACGTCCCTCAGTCCTGAATTTTGCTTTCTTTATTATAGCATGCGATTCCCATCTTTCTTTATTACACAGCTTTCACATCTTCTACAGCATGGTCTTCATGGTAAATTATTCTTCAAGTGGTAGCATGTGATTCCCATCTTCTACAGCATGCTTTTTCATTCACCAATGCAGTATGTATTACATTAATATATTAATAGTAGTACAGCTCGTAGCATGACAAAGTCCTCTTTATTACTATAGCCTTTGCTTTCTTTATTACAAGTGGTAGCATGTAATATAATAAATAGTTTGTGTAAATTTTGGTTTGTAATACAAGTTTGTACCAATGGAGTTATTTTGGTTGATAAAATTCACAGTAATCCATATAATTATTTTAAAAAATTAATGTAGTGATACTTATGTAAAAAAAATGAAAGAAAACATTGTTGACGAATTATATTACAAAAGGTCATATTTCTTAAGAAGATAGAAAGGTACAAATGGTAGAATTAAGAAAAAAAGCAAATATTGTTGATTGAGTTTTGTCTAATTATTTGCTTCTGCAATCATGGTTTTATTTTTTTAAATTATGATGTTTAACTACAACATATTATTTAAAAACAGAGAAAATTAACATTTATTAGAAACAAATTGAAGTTGTTTTTCTGTAGTTAATTTTGAAATTTGAAGATGTTATTTCATTTTGTGAAGATAAAATCATTGAAATTGATGTTCATGAGATGGTTATTTAAATTTAACATGGTTCCATAATTTTATTTCATGTGATTGTGCCATATTAAAAAGTAGTTTTAGATTTGGGAAAGTATCATTCAAACCGCACGTAACATCTTTCGTTCACTAATCGACACGCCATTATGGTATTGAAGAATTATAAAAATAATTTACCGTAGAAGAGGAAGTTTAATAAAGAAATGTTGATTCGTTTAGGCAAAGCAGGTACAAAAAATACAGAAATTGAAAATACATTGACACTGTTAATTGAACAATGCAGCCAAAATGGTTTTTATTTTTTAACGCCTCCTTCTACGCCGCTTGGCGCGCCTCTTTGGCCCAATAGTTGGCCACCAATTGATCAAACGTTAGAAAATCTGGGTGCCTTTTCCAAAACTCTTCATTCGGGTAGTTGTTCAGGCTTAAATCAGCAAATGTCCTTGTAAAGGTATCCCACATAGGCTCTAGATTGTTAAAATAATGCTCTCCTAGTAGCCAGTGCTAAACCATATAAAAGTAAAGGAGAAACAACGGGAAGCATGAGAAAGTACGTGCATCATTGAGTTTTATGATATTGTTTGGTGACAAAAAAAGTAGACGCTAATTAAAGGTGAATTTCGGTTACCTCGATAGAAATCTCCCGTTGATACCCGTCAAGATGTACGTATATATCGTTGACGTCAAAAACCGCGTTCGGTGTGTCGATCAAATATTTAAACGTACGGTACCTTTCTTTTAGCACCATGAACGTGACAACACACTCTTTCAAGGTGAGATTCGGATCAATTTCTGTCAAACACGCTTGGTGAATATTTTCAAAGGCGTGCAGGATGTCAGATTCTTTTGTCATGCCCTCTGTCTGAACGAATCTTTTGATTATTACTGAATTTGATACTTGTTTCCTAAGTATTCAGAGTTACACACGAATAAGTTAAATAGAATAACGCGAAGATTCAAGTGAATTGCGGAAGCAGTATAAACAAATTTGAACCTTCAGGAGAGTGTCCCACTCTCCCTCCGGATCACTTTCATTAATGCAATCAACTCTACACTCTACTTGAACAATGAACTGCACTACTACTTATCCGACCACGAGTCCCTCGTGGTTTTTCACATTTGAATCCCTCAAACTGACAACAGAATGAACCTCCGAACACTCTGTAGCTTTTGCTCTCAACAATGATAATCTCACATACTAAACTCACTCAACAAAAAGAAGAATACTCAAAAATTATTTCGATCAGAAAAATTCAAGTTGCAAAAGTACTCCTCAACGTGATCTCATCGTCCTTTTATGCACATCCTCAAATGGTAAGTTCTTCCTGTATCTTCCCAGCCAAGTCATATCATACTTTGGAAAGTCCAGGTTGCTCAATTCGGATCTCGCGCATCATGGTAAGTAGGTGCACATGGAAGGTAATTATAAATGGAGTGTTTCACGATCTTTTCTTTTGACCTGCCATAATAAAACGTGCATAAGAATAAGCCAATAAACGAAAGTGATCAAAACTAATCTAAGTAAACCTAGACAGACTTCCCTTAATTGTCTTTGATGTCTGCTCTGACAGAAGAAGGTTCGTCGATTTGCTGCCAAACCTCAGAACTTACAATCTCCCCCTTTGGCAGATAAATCGAAAGCCTTTCTTAAGAACCTGCATGAACAACAATGTAATCTTGCATACGTACACAACCTATTCAAACAGAATATGCATAAGAGGTTGTTCATTTGAACAACATAAGTTCCTGGTCAATCAAAAACATTAGAAATTAGTTCATAAAAAGCATTCCTAAATAGTCATAAAAAAGACACTCAAAAGAAATAAAAATAGTTCATGACATCACAAAACATTGCAAATAGTTTTTAGTTTTAGCAAGACATAGACAAGTCAAATGCATATCCACGGATCTATGTAGATCCGTCTTTAGTGTCCTCATCATCAGAACCTTCAACAGATTCAGCTTCAGTGCCCTCTTCTGAACCAGCTGCTTCTTCCTCAGAGTCATTAGATTCCTCCCCATCTTCTTCAAGTTCTTCCTCCTCTTCCGATTCAGCCTTCTCCTTTCCTTTTGCAGTAGCAGCATCATCATCCACTTTTTCCTTGGAAGCAACCTCCTTTGCCTTTGCCATGTTTCCCTCTTTCGGTTTATCCCCTTACTCACAGCCTTCATCTTCTCCCCCTTTCCAGCAGCAACCTTTTTGACCTCCCTCTTTTTCGATTTAGACGCCAAGGGGGCACGGACAGCTAAGTCACCTAAAACCTATATGTAGTAACGGCGCTGATAAGATAATTTCTTCTCCAAACCAGTGAGAACAACCACTTGTTGGTTAAGGAACCCTCGGAGCTGTGAGGGTACATCAGAGGCTTTAACAACAGAGGGAATAAGGGGAACTGTCTTGACCCCCGCCAGTGCAAGGGGTTTAAGAGATGGAGAAAGTTCATCACCCACACGTGTATCCATCTTGATTAGAACAACATAGATAGTGGAGGGAAACAGAAACAATTTTTGGGGTTTCGAAACATCAGCAAAAGAAACTACATAGTCACAAATGACGAACCCCAAGTCAAACTGATTCCCACATAGAACGTGATAGATGACCCTTGCTTGAATAGGCGTCAAAAATTGTTTGTTAGATGTAGGAGTCCAGTTTAAGGATCCAATCTTCTGAAGGGCATTAGCTTGGGGAGTTATGCTTTTCACAAACAAACAAGGGTTCAACCATTTGCTCAATTTCCCTCCGGTCAGTGTAGCCGCAACTACATCTAGGTCACCATTCATAGGTGTCATAAACAGAGATGGATTTTCAGGCAACCCCAGGATAGAATTTATCACAGATGGAGAGAAGACAGAACACCTTATAAATCTTAAAGGATTTTGGATCAGACTTAGAGGTAGACAGATTAGAGTAAAACTCAGCAATTAATTTGGGGCAATATTTTCCCACATTCAACAAAGAAGCTTCAAGACCTGCTTTCTTCAGCAATTCAATGAACCCAATTTTCTCAAAATGGTCAGCAACAATGGTTCGTTCCGGACGGAAATTCATTTGAGAGAACACATTCAAATAACGAGATTCGAACAAAGGAGAGTAAAATTGACGGGAAAGGAATTACCAATAGCAAGAGGACTATCAGGCCCATCATCTTTGACTTCTTCCACAGATTTGTCATCCACCAGAGCAGAAGGTTCCTTGTCAGGAGCAGGAGGGTTAACGGATTTTTCTGGTTCAGAGGTGAACTTGTCGATTTCCTTCTCCGCAGATTCGCCATCATCAACACTATCAGGTGATGATTCTCCACCAGATTTGGAAGGAGACTCCACAGCAGCAGGAGTTTCACGCCCAACAATGATCTTCTTTACCTTCTTCGGTTTTCCGGCAGTGGCAGCGGCGACCTTCTTTCGCTTTTTAGGCGATTTAGCGACGGAGGGTGACCCTTTGCCACCTTTCTCACTACTAACCGCAACGTCGGGAGTAGCGACCTTAGCCGTGAATAACTTTTTGGGACTTGGGGAAACCCAAGTTTCATCAGGTTGAGAGGGTTGAGCTTTGTCGGTTGCCATGTCGGAAGGAGTGATATTTGGCGCAGTTTCTGTACTTTGGCTTTCACGAGTGGAACGCCGCGAAGGTTGAGGAGCATTCTTCTTCGGTTTCACTTTGCCTGTTTCGGTATAGTTTCAAATAGAAGAAGGTATCTCACACAGATATGGAATGTTAGAAAATTTGGGAGAGATGCGAAAATCATATTGATATGAGAGGGAGAAGAGATGATTGATAGTTATAGGAAACCAAATCACAGTTACTGAGAGAGTATAGTATAGGTTAGACGGTTCAGCTTTTTAATTTTGAATTTCAAACTTGTGCACCAATTAATACCAAAACCCTCCAAATTAACCAACATTTTGACACGGCTTACCATATATACATGTAATGAAGTTTCGTACCAAAATATGATCAGATTTAGTACCAAAAATAATTTTTGACACAAATTCGAAACACAATTAGTCACAGGAATAATTTATGCATATGCCTAAATATTTTAATAATCAAGCAATAACCAAGATACTCTCAATCATACAATGTCGAAAAATATTTTCATGAATTTTTCTAAGGATCTTCCCCAGTCAATTTATAAAGGAGCTCGACACTAATATGATGATAAGAATTTTTACGAACCCAACTCAGCCCTTATAACTCCACTTTTATACAACACGGAATTAAAATAAGCTTATTCATCAGTTTCTCTAGCAAAGAACGACATTTTTCATTCGTAATTCAGCCCCAATTCTAATGATGAACTCACTTCGTTCTATGAACTTCCACACTATTTCACTTACTAACATTAACTATACGCCAATGTCAAACCCATTACTTAAAGTGTGAATCATCCCGCAAAAAGTTTCTTTCGAATATGCTGAGAGGATTTTGAGAGATGACCAACCTTATTTCACCAATGAACTAGCACCCACAAGGGATGACTACTTGCAGCCATCACTCCTCGTATTATTCCTAAGCACGTAACTCGTTTCACAGGCAATCATGGAAACGCCTCATGTGATAGTTGCCCGATGTCTACTTTCATGACAGAAGCTCTTACAAATAGTTTAAATGATCATTGTGACGAGCTCAACTAAACTGATCAGTTCGAATCTATAAAATATCAACTTATTTATCCATTGACAAATTATTCAAGGACAGTTCTTGGGATGAACCTACATACTATGCCTAAATGCAAGATAACTCTAATATGCGACACAATATATATATATATATATATATATATATATATATATATATATATATATATATATATATATATATATATATATATATATATATATATATATATATATATATATATATATATATATATATATATATATATATATATATATATATATATATATATATATATATATATATATATATATATATATATATATATATATATATATATATATATATATATATATATATATATATATATATATATATATATATATATATATATATATATATATATATATATATATATATATATATATATATATATATATATATATATATATATATATATATATATATATATATATATATATATATATATATATATATATATATATATATACATATAAATGCAAAAGACACAACATGCATAAGGATTATATAGCACACATTCCTAAGGATTTCCTTACTGACAAAAAGCGTTTTGAATCAAGTGCTTTTGTGAAAATATCAGCAAACTGATCATTTATAGGTACATAATCCAACACAATAGTACCATCCTCCACCAAATTTTGAATAAAATGATAGCGAATGTCAATATGCTTGGTACAAGAATGTTGGACGAGATTTTTAGAAATATTTATTGCACTAGTGTTGTCACAGAAAAGCTGAGCTGAATGTACCTTCATACCGTATTCAGATAGGATTTGCTTCATCCAGACTAATTGGGAGCAACAACTTCCTGCGAAAATGTACTCGGCTTCGGCTGTAGATAATGAGTTGCAGTTTTGTTTCTTGCAAAACCGTGAGACCAGGTTTGACCCTATATAGAAACAACCACCGGAAGTACTTTTCCTATCATCAAGATTTTCAGCCCAATCTGCATCGCAGTAACCTGCAAGATGTAAGTTCGTATCAGCAGAATAAAATAACCCATAGTCAGATGTACCTCCAACATATTTGATGATGTGCTTGACTGCCTTCAAATGAGATTCTTTGGGAGCAGTCTGGTACCTTGCACA